CGTGTGATTAGGGCCTTTGTCCCAGACCTGAGAGTTGGACATTTAGGAGCCTCTGTTCTGCCAGGACTGGTCCTGTGGGCTTGAGGTCCCCTCTAGGGAGGAGATGGCTGTGTCCTGGATCAGGAAAAAGGGGAAAGTCCTCATTCCTAGGAGCCCATGGAGAATGGGGGTGGCTCAGGTGGCCCTGGGTTTCCTCCCAGTAGCTGCTGCCCCGTGAAATCTCTTGGGGCTGGCAAGTGGACAATGTTTCCCATTGGACCCTACATTCGACGACTCTCACCAGCACTCAGCAGGAAACTTCCTGGTGCTTCTTTCCCCTGAGCCTGCTATAGAAGGAGGGTGACTGTGTTTTGGGTCCTCCTTGGCTACTTTGGTCATTGTCTTAAAAACCAGATCTGATAGTCAGCTCTGTGAGGCTTTGTACATAAGCAAGCCTGGTGTCTTCCAGCCTGCTGAGGCTCTGAGGGTCTGAGCCAGTTGGACCTGGGCTGGAGGACCCCTGGAGCCTCTGGAGCCACAGGAGGGCACTTTTGCCTCAGTTTTTAGCAGATGCTTGCAAAAGTCCTGAGGGCAGAGGCTGACTTACTTATCTCAGAGCTAGAGCCATGCTGTTCCTTCTCCCCAAATCAACTGCAAGTGGCAGCCAGCTTCAGGAAGAGAGGAAGGGAAGAAGGGAGGGAGAGATAGAGGGAGGGAGAGAGGAAGGAGGGAGAGAGGGAGGGAGAGAGGAAAACAGAGAGGGAGAGAGAGAGGGAAGGAAGGAGGGAGGGAGAAAAGAAAAGAGGGAAGAAGACAGGGAGGGAGGAAAAGAGGGAGGGAGGGGCCGTTTGGAAGTGGGAATTGTGCTCCTAGTCTTTTCTTCAGGGTTCTGGTCCAGGTGTGCCCATTTTCAGGTCCTCCTCTGGCTAGTGACGTCTCTGATCCCAGGGCTGTAATTGTCCTGTCCAGAGCTGAGTTCCCGGGGAGGTACACTGGGGGTTGGGGTGCTGAGGATTCTGCGGTGGGGCCACAGTGCACAGTGCTGCTGCCGGGCACAGGCTGGGCTGGGTGTTTCTCTCACTGGGCACTCGGCCTCCTCTGCTTGCTGTGCCAACATCCACTTAATGTCTCATGGTGCAGAGGGAAGGGGCTTCCCAGAAGCAGACACAGGGAGGTCTGCCAGCCGAGAGGAGCACGGCCCTCTCTGGGCACTGGGGTGGCCCTAGCTGTTCTCTTCCCACCTCCTCACAAGCAGGCTGACGCCTCAGCTCCATGTCCGGGTGTCTTGTCAAGCCGGGAAGGGAAATTGAGGATGAGTGGGGAGTGGAAACTCAGCAGGAGCCTGAAGACAGGGTGTGGAGCGGGGTCTTGCTGCAAAGTGACTGTGGAGCCCCAGCCTCACCTCCTCCTCTCCCCGCGGTGAACCCAAAGTCAGCCGATGAAGTTGCTGCTGGGGGCACTGGATCCCACGGGTGCCCTCTCGTGAGCTTGCCTAGGAAAGGCTTGCTCAGATCTGTTAATAATTTGCGGCAGCCTTGTGCTGTCCTTTCAAAGGAGGGAGCAGGTGGAGAGTATCTGACATCCATACCCCGTAACCCGACCACCACCTATCCACCCACCTATCTGTCTGCCCATCAGCCCCCAAATCCAGCCACTCCCCGGCCACTGTCCTCTCAGACATCGATCCATCCTCACACCCATGAATCTACCCACTTGTAGCCCACCTGCTATCCACCCGTCCTTCCATGCCCCTCCAGGGCCAGGTGCTTCACCAGGCAGAGGTGGACCCAGGCTGAAAGCAGGGCGAGTCTTCCCTCGTGGTGGGGCTTGAGCCACGAGTTGAGGGATGCTGGGAGTCAGGCGGGTGGGGAGGGCAGGGGCTGAGAAAGAGCAGGTGCAGGGGCTGTAGACAGGGCAGAGAGAGGGGACACCAGGGGCCTGGCAGATCACCACCCCGTGTCCCTGTCCCATCTATGAGCAGCCCCAGCAGCCGGGCACTGAGGCCCCCAGGTCCCCGCAGGCGGCCTCCCTCCCTCGCTCCCCTCCCTGTGGCAGCCTTTGTTGGGCTCTGGCAGAAATTAATTGGATTTGCAGCTCTGTTCCCAAGGGGATTTGTGGCCCCAAATAGGGATGTTAGAATAAAAGTAGCCAAGATTTTACAGGCAGCGGGGTGGTTCTGCTGAGTTTAATGTTCCTGTTTTATCTCCACTGGGGCAGGCAGGTGAGGGAGACAGTGAGGGGGATGGACAAGACACAGGGTGGGAAACCCAAGAACATCCAACATGCAGATCAGATTGTTCAAAAAGAGATGAGATGTTTTAAAATTACTTGCATGTCTTGTGTTAGCTGGCACCAAGTTTCTGTTAGGAGACAAGACACGGGAATAGTTACAGTGATGGGGCCCTTAGGCTCTAGCGAGGTCATTTTCCAGGGCAGTAGAGAGTGGCCTGGGTGCGGATGACGCTAGAAGTGGTAAATGGCAGCTGTTCTCTGGGCCCTGCTGGGTGCGGAACATCCTTCCATCCTACAGGGAGAAGCTATGTGGCAGTGCTGTGGCCTCCATCCGAGGACCAAGTCTGGTGAGGAAGTACGGCCTGTGTTAAGACTGACTGCTCTGAGCTGCAAAGATGAGACTGGGCCTGTTGATCAGCGGTGTCTGCCTGGATGTAGGAATAGCACACGGTGGTGCCAGTGTGGTGCCACCCAGCGCTAGAGTGGATTCAGATGATTTAGCAGGGTGGGTTTTATAGGGGAAGTCCTTGAGTGGCTGTGCTGTACCTACTGATGCGACCCAGGGCCAGATGGGACAGCCCATTTTCTGAACTGTCATCCACACCCGGGGTAGAATTTACATAAGATCACCACGTCTTGCCCCACTTCAGTGTGCAGTGTGGAGGGAGTTTTATACCTTCTTCCCCCTCTCTGCATTCTGCACCTAAAAGCATGTCAGTGCTTCGACACAGGGTCACTTTATATACAGGGTCCCGCTTTAAGGTACCAGTGGGTTTTTAGATGTTTGATTTATAGGATACATTGTAATAGCAAATATGAGCCTTGATTAGATTTTTCATTATTATGGAAGTAACATCGCTCATTGCTGAACACTTGGGAAAAGGACAAATGAATGATGAGACGGGACAGAGAGGGCTCAACCTGCGGGGTGGGGCAGGGACGGTCCCTGGCAGTGGCATTTGGTGCAGGGAGGGAGGGAGCTGCCACCTCTGGGACCAGCGCCCGAGCCTTCCCCCTCCCTTTCATCCAGTGTGCTCTTAATGCCCTGTCTGTGTGCTTTTAAAGCCTTCTGTGGTCACTGTGTGTCAATGGTCCCTTCAGCCTGTGACTTCTCAGCCTGCACCCTGACAGCTCTGTGGGGTCTGGGTCAGCTTCAGGCTCTGCGTATCATGAGAGGAAGTGGCTTCCTGGAGGGGTTTCCTGGCTGTGAGCTATCAGTGAGGGTATCCTCGTGGCCTCAGCTCTGCCTGTGATCCAAGGATGCACACCCTTCACCTCAGTGGGTGATGCTGTCATGGCAACAGGTGGACAAAGGGGAATGTGGCAGGGAGCGGAGGTCATGTCGGGCCATGCTGCCCCTGTGGACACAGGCTGCTGCCAGGAGTCAGACCTAAGGCCCAGGGTTCCTTCAGGTCTGTGACAGAGACAAGCAGGACCCAGGCCTCCAGCTCCATCCCAGGGGCCCTCCAGCCCCACTTCCCCATGGAGCACAGCCCCTAGCCTCACTGGAGGGGGCTGCTGGGCAGCAGCATCCTTCCTCACTGAGCTGCCAAGCTGAGCAAATGTCAGCCTGACCCCAGGCGAGGAGGAAATCCCAGCTGGCAGCTGGGCCTGGGGCAGCCCCCAGCTGGGGTCTCCTGCCAGATCCTAAGTGACAGGTTTCCCTGGCTGCAGGGTGGGGTTTGGCTTAATTAAAGGGATCATCTCTGTCTCATCTAGAAATGAGTTGCTTGTGGCCCACAGCATTTGGACCGGCTGGCAGCCCCCTAACCCCTGGTGTTTGTTCGCCGCCCCCTCCCCCAGCCTGGCCAGCAGCACTGGCCTTTGCAGGAAGGCCTGTCCACTCAGGGCCTCACTCATCTTTGTGCAGAGGACGGGTGCCGGGCGATGCTTTCCTTGCCCTGCTAGGTTCTTTGGCTGGGTTACAGATCAACAGGAGGAAAACGATTTCAATTCTGCACATGTGCATGGAAGTGCAACAAAAACGTGACTCAAGGAAGGGGCCACATTGCAGTTTCTATCATGTATATAGATTCAAGGACCACTGTGAGCTGCAGAAAGGCTTGGGGGCTCAGGGCTTCTGGGGCGTGGGGAGACAAACTGGGGGAGGGGAGGAGCACCCTATGGTCCTGCCTCCTGCTTCCAAGGCTCCCTTCCTAGGGTAGGGGCAGGTCCCGCCAGTCCCCACCTCCACGTCCCAGAAGCCACCTTCCCAGAGGGAACCCTCTCCTGCCTCGTCCCCTGTGGTGGCTGGAGCTGGCGGTCTTCCAGCATGCCACACCGAGCGCTGTCCTGGGAGACCCTCCTCCTTGAACCCAGAGTGCCCCTGACCTGTGAGCAAAGTGGAAGGTGAAAGCAGAGCTGTCAGCGGGAAGACGCTTTCTGCTTCCCTGGATCTCCCCACCCAGCACCTCCACCTGTCCCCCTCAAGGGCCCGTCTGCTCCCAGCAGGGCCACGTGGGGCTCTGTGGCAGCCCCGGGTGGCGCCCAGCTGGCTTGGCAGTGCTGTGGAACCCGCTCGCCTCCCTCTCCCTGGCAGTGCTGTGGAACCTGCTCACCTCCCTCTCCCTGGCAGTGCTGTGGAACCCGCTCGCCTCCCTCTCCCTGGCAGTGCTGTGGAACCCGCTCGCCTCCCTCTCCCTGGC